TAAACTGAAACCAGTGACACATAATTTTCATTAACCCAAATTCTTCGATCCTTTAGTTTCTACTTGGGTTTACCTGGCAGATGTCTGGACCTTGTAATATTTTTCAACAATCCAATGCAGAACAGAAATTAGGCATTTCTTTTAGAAACTGTGGCACACCTAAACTGAAAAAATAATGCAACCACTCTTAGCATTTACTTTATCATATTCAGTTACCTTAACGTGACTGTTTTACATCCTAACATAAAACAATTGTTTTAAGAGAAATTAATATGATAAGGTAAATGCCAAAAGCGATTGCATTATTTTTTTCAGTGTAACTAGTCAGTCAATAACAAGAAAAACTGGTGTTTTCTGTAGCATCGGTTTAAAAGCAGGCAATTGCTCTGTTAATGTTGCATAGCTTTAGTCCTGCCAAGCTCACTGTGCGATAAGAACATCGATTCCAATCTGAATACCGGTGCTGCAGATGGAAAACTGCTAAGAGAGACAAAAGGGATGCAATCAAAAAAAATCACAAGAAGATAGCATCATCAAGCCTTCTTCTAAATGCAATATAATACTTTCTTTTCATACAGAACCGCCCTTTGCTCTAGCGATAACGCTGACATTCAGAATAAAGCAGTGTAATCAGGAGATGTTTACCTTTTTTCATGAAATATCTCTTTAGAGGTCAGCGTCTTTTTTTCCCCTGCATCTTAGAATCGTATTCAATTAAAAGCCAACAGTGGGGCTTAAGTGTTGTGCCAGAATGCAACGTCTGAGACATCTCCCACTAATTTCCTGTTTTCACACCTTCAACTTCCTCCTGACTCCGTCTTTCAGGTCAGTCACTGTTGACATCGTTTCTTTCCTGGTCGTCATCACCCCGGTTTGGTTTCTTTCATTCCCTTTTGTTCTGCAGAGCTCCAGGTTAAACGCCCCACTTTACAGCGCCCTCATAAACACATGCACATTGACTCTGGGGCCTCCTGTCACATCAAAGGCAGGAACGTAGAGGCCTGTTGCTGTTATGCCTGATTGCACACAGTTATTGTCAAGTCCCCCACTTTTCTGTGGCATGTGTTCCAGATTGTCTCCATACTAGTAGAGATCCCTATATCCGTCTCCATCCCTTTCTTTACCTACTTTTACACTTTTCCTCCTCTCTTTCCAGTTGACATCATAAAGCAGCAGTTTCTCCTCTCCTTCCATCTCTTTTTATCCCATTCATGTTATAAAATCTGAATGAAATCACACTCCATCCCTTTTAACCTGCGGCCATGACAGGCAGTGTTTTCATCGGTGTGCCACTGTCTTATCACCTACCTCTCTCAGCCTCATATTGCCAGCCCTCCCAATCAGCAGCGAGCTATCCAGTATTTCTATCAGAGCTAACCAGGCCTGCTTGGCGCAGATAAAACCAAACACCGGGGGCTTTTTGCTGGATCGACAGGCAGGAGGAGATGTTAATGTTAATAGTTTAGATGAGAAATGAATGTTAGGTGTTGTAGCAGGAGGATTATGGCGGGTATTCAGCAATGTTACATTGTGGTAATTGTTTGGTAGTTTGTTGACTAGCAGACATATGTTCTCTCTCTCACAGGGATTATGCAGGGTTTCTTAATTTCGCGGAAAGTTGGAAACGATCCACTAAGAGGGGTTGCAGCTGAACTTATAAAAAAGTAGATTTAATTTTTTCTGCATTGTAGGGGCAGATAGCTCAAACTTCTTCATTATTTATTTTTATTTTTAGCTTAGTTTCTTATCTAGCATGCAACCATGAGGTAAACAAATAATATAAGTTAGAAGTAGAAATGAACTAACTTTCAAAAAAGTCATAATTAGCCAAAAGGTCAAGTGTTTGACTTCCTTCCAGATGTTTGCTGTATCTACCGCATGCTTCATAGATTTTTTTCCCCTACCATTTTTCTCATTAAAAACAAAGTTTTTATCAGATTTTCCGACCAAAGCTACAGATCTTTCCTTGCCCAGCCGGTTTAGAAAGGCAGCCATGTCTTGTTGCATCGTTGGTTCGCAGTTGGACCATACTCTTTCATTATAGAATGCATTAAAACAATCTGTCTGCTGTGTTTTTGGTTTTGGTCATGCTCTTTATTCACTAATGATACTGAGAAATGCCTGAGGATATCACAGAACAGCTGGGTTACACTGAGATTAGATAACAAACAGCTGGATTATATACCTTACTTTATACATACGTTGGCTCCCGTTTTCGTTTGGCTTCATTGGACGTTAACTAGGGATATGAATTTTAGATGCTTATTTGTAAAACCCTTTGAAAACACAGGATATATTTGCATGGGTGTTTGTTACTTGAAGGAAGAAAACTTCCACTGGTTGAAATAGTTTTTCTTTCATTTGTTTAATGGAGTGTTTTAAGGCGGCACGTTAACTCACTGTGTTGTCTTGAATCTCTCTCTTTCCTGTTTTTCTACGCCCTTCCTTATAGCCAAGCCTCTAATGTGTTTAAAGTCTTTTAACATTACATTATACATGTTGACAAGAGAGTAGGATTGCAGATTGTCTTGAAAGCAGAAGCACAGCGTCATTCTGTGAAGCCATCCATCAAGCACTTAGGGGAGAGCTGAGCAATACAGAGAAAACAATGAAAGTGTCGCTGCAGACTGTTGATTTGATTCCTCCGCCTGGTTTATATGTATTCACACAGCTGAGCATAGACACAGAAAAAAGAATCAACTTTTAATTTTTGTAAATCAAACTAACTTCCCGCACATTAACGCTGTTGGCAGATGAGAATGAAAAGCAGCACAAAAATGTGCGTGACACATCCAAGCTTGCTTTCTTTAACCTTATCAGATAGCGCAGTTTTCCAAGTCGCCGTCACCCAGTTTGATTTAATTAGACCTTCTTTATGTATCCGGTTCACCCAGCTTTTTCATTCCTCCACCCATCTGTCCACTTAATACATCCCTCACTCTTTTGTTTTCCACCTGTTTTTGCGCCGGCGGGTCATAAATTGATAGAAACAATTTATTACCGATATTTTCACAGGTTCCCATCTTCCTTGCCATCATTATTTCTAAAGAAGCGTCTGCGTCGCGGATGAACTCCCTCTTAGGTTACAGAGGCGCGTCAACAAAAGTGAAGACAAAAACAAAGATGGGATGACGAGATCAGTTTGTAATTCGGGGATTTTGCAAACTAGAGAAAGCACAGACTGACAAGCAGATGGTCTCAAACAGAAAACAGGAAGGCCCACAGAAAGCACTCCTTTTATTCTTCATATTATCTCATCTCTCTGTCTGCAGGACCAGTCTAGGCTTGGACTGGTCATTAGCCAGTGAACTGGAAATGTCTCATATTTGTAGGATGCAGGGAGCTCAGAGAACAAAAGCATTTCTTTCCCTCTCCCTGTGCATATCAACCACTTTGTGTAGACGTATAAACTGTGCAGTGATGTGCGTTCACGAGCCATCCCTGAATGAAATGTATCCTTTGTTTACGGCCCCATTATCTAGATAATAACATCCATATTTCCTCTCATCTCCAGTGCTTTATCACAGCCTTATGAGCTCTTTCACTCTATCTCTTTCTGTTGCACACACACACGCGCGCTCACACAGAGGCAGAGGGAGATAATGGGATTGTTGCCTCTGGTTTCTTTTGGTGAAATTGTAAATAAATTCTTCCATTATAAAGTGTGTGTTTTCAGCACCCAGCCATGTGTTTCTCCCTCAGTCTCTGCATGCACGTATACATCAAAGTACATACAGCATTACCGTACGGATCCATCTATGTCTGTGTATGTCTGCTTTCATCTTTACCCCCTTTTTTCCCATCTACCTGTATGGGAACTTATTTGTCAGTGTGTGTGTGTGTGTGTGTGTGTGTGTGTGTGCTAAGGATCATTTTCCAGCGAGTCATCGCCTGCTGTCCTTCCCTTGTCACTGTGGGCTGATAGCGACACCGACCTACAAAGCTCTGTAATAGAGAGCCGATGCTTGCCCCAACCCGCCGACAACCCCCCACACACCCACCCACCCCTGGTCGCTCTGCACTTTTCATTTGCTGCTGAGATGGATTTGGCTCACAGCCATCTCTCACAGCCAATCTCCTATCTTGTATCTGCGCCATTACGCTCCAAATCTGGGCAAATTATTCGCGGAAGCAAAGAAATAAATTCGGAATGTTTCCATATAGGCTGTTTAGTGAGCGTGCTGAATATGCTGCTTCCACCTAAGCAGGTTTTCATCTAAATCAGTTAGTACTCTCACACTTGTCCTGAACCATTTTAGTTTCACCAGCAGCTCTAATTCTCAATAAAACAAACAAAAAAAGCTTTCTATGATCTTTAATGTTTTTTATTGATGCTACAGAGCTTCATTTCATGTCTTATTTTGCTTCTATTATACTGGACAGACTTTTTTTTTTTTGGTTGATCAGTAACTTATGACAGATTGACAACTGAACAGTTTAGCGAAACGGGTTTTTTGGTTTGTAGGAGGATACAGGATTTGTTAGAATAACAAATATTTTGCAAACTGCGGACCCAAAAATTTATCTGGAAAGGACTCAATGGGGGACATTGCTGCTGTTTGTGGCGTTGAACCACAAATATTACAGCAGTAACAGATATATGAGCAAAATATAGTGAGGAACTCTGATAGAGGCCATTAAAAACGTTTTTAATGGGACAGTCATACTCTCACCATCGTTTTTTTTTAGAATATCGTAAAGATCTGATCAGCCATGTTTTCTCTTTGGCCGTGCTGATCTTCTTCCCTCTCCTGTGATGTAGTTTTCTCAAAAAGTGTGATTTGACTGAGATTGTATCTCGTTCTGGACTGTTTGGATGATCAGATGCTTTAACAGTCCTCACAGATGTTCTAAATAAATGTTTTATTTTTTCTTTAGACTTCATTTGATTAAAGAAAAGGAGCATTAGAATTTTTCTCAAAAAAGTGTCTTCTTTTGTTTTATGTATTTGTCATATTCTGTGCACATTTAAATAGGATTTCTGTTGCATTTCCTCCTAGATCCTGGTGAACTCTGTGAGCTCCAACCGCCCGGCCGTTCCGTATGAGAAGGTGACCGTCAGCGAAGGAGGGAGCCCTCTCCTCAGAGACCTGCTGTTCAGCCCTGACCTGCAGCACATCTACACTCTGACTGACAGACAGGTTAGTTTATCCCTGAGAAAGCGCAGCAGAGGCTGTATCCAATCCTTCTCCAGCCGTATAAATGTTGCGAAACACAAACGCATGTATGTAACGATCAACAGTGTGGTTCATTAAACTTTCTGCTGCTGGTGATTTACATTCACTCACACTTTAATTGGACTGAAAACATCAGCTAACCAAAGTAGTCCTATTACCAACTGTCCAGAGCAGATCTCACCCCTATTAGCTATTATTTGTGTCTGTCTTAACCTTCCTCCCCAATGTACCATCGCTACACATTGCATCCCCTGTGGATTTAATTGCAAGGCAGCTTGCATTCAAGCCAGCCACACATTACCGCTCTGACAGTTTGCTTATAATCAAGACATTTCACACACATACATATAGGGAGTGTTACGGGTCACATGTGGTGTGTGTGTCCAAGTGGTCATTAGGAGCCCCCACCTCTGGTAAGGGTTGTTCTGTTTTTAATGGTGAGCTAGATGGAGGAAGAGGCAGGGGAGTGAGGAAGAAGAGGAGAGCGTGTCGCATCTCTGTCGCTCCCCAGGCGCAGCTGCTCCCCTCGTTTTTCTGTCTCATTAGTGCCGTGAGTGAAGGATGCGGGGATGGAGGCAGGAGAAAGGAAAGAAAGTGGGGTTCAGCATAATGGGGAGATATTTCTTGACGATCTACAGTAAAATTGGTTGTTAGAGCAAAAAGCTGTATGTATAGACACGGGGCTGGGGTGGTGAAAGATGGCATCGTTTAGCGGTAAAGATGAAGACTTTAAAAAGGAGTGGATGGATTGTTCTAATTGCTTTCATCTCAAACCGCTATTAGATGAATTAAACTGCAAATCAACTGTATATTAATGTGCATATTTTCATTTAAATGTATTTAATTTGGCCATATTTGGCCTGAAACCACATTAGTGCCACCCTTAATAGGTTAAAACGTGGCTACTAAATCGTAGGTGCTCAATAATACCTTCAAAAGAAAGCAGACCTCCAACATAAGAAGCTAGAAAATAAAGAAATAACAGTTCCATATAAAGTGTACTTGATTGGGTCTTACATATCCGATATCAAATCACTGGGGGGAGTGTTGGCCTAGTGGTTAGAGCAGTGTGCTTGTGCTTTGAGAAGGTTGCCGGTTCGATCCTCACAGTCTGCACTCTGGGTTTCTGAGTCAGACCCTCAACCCCACATTGCTCCCGAGGCCCTGCACAATGGCAGCCCACTGCCAACCAAGGGGATGGGTTAAATGCAGAGGTAAGTTTCTCCAATTTGAGATAAATAAAGTTCATTATTATTATATCCAATCCAGTCATCATCAGAGCCGATACCTGATCCATGTATTAGATTGGTGCATCTATTCAGAGGGGTGGGTTCTCATGCTTCAGTGCACCGTATCTTTCTTTTGCTTTTGAGCAAGCAGTGTAGCTAATATTTTGAGACTAAATTGTTTTTTTCATTTGAAACATACTCAGACATATATCAAAAAATGATTTCATTCAGTGTGGTTCAACAGTGAACATGGACTCCAAATCCAGGCTTCTGTAAAGGTGTTTACCTGCCTCTGAATGCACCATTAGGTGTATAACTGTAAATTAACCAGCACATGGCTCCCTTAGATGGCAGCATTAAGGGGAGCAATTATGAGAATCATAAACTGGTAGAGACCTCTACAAACATTTCACTTCATTAAGTCTGCAGCAAGGTATGAAATGTTAACAGTCTATAATATTGTAAAATGTTAATGTACCACAGGCTACATGGGTATGCTGATATTTAAAAACCTACCGTTGGTACCAGTACCTCTCCTTAGAAAACAGTAAAAGTCACTTTTGCTGATGCAAGGTGTCTGCAGCAATATGCAATAGGTTATTACAGGAAAAAAAAACCTGGCTATAATCACACAATCCGATGCTATATGGTGAGAGATCTCATCCATACAGTTTACACCAGTGTGACATGAATAAGTCATGTTTTCTTTGAATAAAAAGTGTCTTTTAGCTTTTTTTTTTTAGGTTGGACATCAGTCTAACTCAACCAACCGTTAAAAATATAAAAAACAACATGGCTAATTGAAAAAAAAACACAGGCTTACATAGCAACCCAAAAACCTTACCCTTCGCTCATATAGTCATCAGACCATTTTCTCCATTAATGTTTTCTTTTTTAAATAGATGAACAATAAATCTACAGGCTTTTTTTATGCAGCTTAATGCATATTTAGATGTTATTGCATTAAAATACATGTACCAGGTGGGTGAAACAAACATTTTGGCAGCTGAGAGCCTGTGGGCCACATGGACACATCATTTTAGTTATAGACCCCTGCAGAAAATGAGAATGTAAGCCCAAGCTCACATGGTTTATTCATATACACACGCTCAACCCCACACAGTCGTTCACAAGGACATTCTGCCTCCGTACACCCAACATGCCCTTTTCTGCAGAGGTCCACACTCAGACGCACACATGCATTCAATCCATCACATACATACCCACCACTTCATCTCGCTGTGTTTGATCCCCATTAATGGTTGGCAGGCTTGGGTTAAGTAGAATGGGGTTCTACTATCGCCGCACCTCCCAGCTAAATCCCCCCCCCACCCCTCTACAGCACTAATGACTCGAGGGGACAATTCCCTTCCCTCACCCTCCATCCTACCCTCATCTTTATCCTCTGCCCTCCATTTATTCTGCCAGTGCCCCCCATCCCTACTTTTTTAAATCCTCTCTTCAGCTGCCACACACACACACCCACACACACACATTAAATATTTCAGTCTAAGCCCAAATTGAGCCCTCCCCTCTCAAATGCCTTCTACTGATCCCATTCCCAGATTTTTAATGATTTCTCAATACTCCTACAGTCCCCACCCAGCTGCATTCACATGCACACATTAACACAGACATGGATTCTTATGTTTAAAAGGGGAACGGCTACAGTTACAGTTAAAGTTACAGCCGATGCCTCAAAACTGGCTGTTAGCAAGGTTCGAATGATTTCCAATCATGATTGGTTCCAACTGGTTAGAACTTTGCTTTACTGGCTGCTCATTCAGGCTGTTAGAGAGAGTAACAAATTCAGCAGATAACACAAAGGCCACTTAAAAAATGTATACGAAATGGTGGAACCAAAGTCACTTTCCTTGCTCACAATCTTTAGCTATACATCAGATTCTGAATCTGAAATGGTGAAAGCCTAGTTTGTTGTGTCAGTGGGATCCTTTATGCTCTGGATGTCATGCAACATGTTGGAGTTAGAGATGGATTTGGCAATGTTTCGTAGTCTTATGAAAATAGACGGGAGGTAAGGATCCACATCTTACTTTAAAATACAGTAGCAGCTTTCTAGATTGGGTGTATGATCCCATCTGGTCCTAATTCCAACTGTTATAGCCTGTATAGAAAAGGCAAGTTTAATCTTACAAAATCAGCAGGCAGGTATATATTTGAAATTAACCTAAAAAAACAGGTGTATCCCTATTCATGCGAGATCCTTGAGAAATATAGGTTCGTAGAGAAAGAATGGAGGAGTTGAAAAAGATGGACACACACTGTCTTTACCCTTGTAGTTTATCCGTGTGTAGCTTGTTGCCTGTGGGAGTTCCTAAGACAAGCCAAGCACATTAAGGTGTCAGTGGATATATCCAGTGATGCGTAGCTTTCCAGTCCCCCCACCCATACACAAACCCAGGAACAAACACACAAATGGGAGGCGCAGGTGGTGAGTCAGAGTTAGGGGGGGAAAGGCCTTGTGATTTATGACTCGCTCGGTCCCAGCTATATTCATCACTGTCGTTATTATCAATGGAGGATATGACAGCCGGAGCAGACGGCTTGCTCTGTGTGTGTTTGATGAGACGGTGTGTTATTGCAGGAAATTTAGATCAGCTTACTTTTGACTCCAGTCACTCTGTTGGCTTTGTGTCCTTCACTGAAATGCTTATTTTTATCACTCTGGCAGATTTCCCTTTGCGTCAGAGCAAATGGTAAACTCTGCTTCCTCTGACAATTTTGAAATCTACACGATGACACCGATCCATTCAGTCACCTCCAAATGCACCAAAACCTCCAATTTTTTTCCCCCTCCAGGTTAGCAGTGATGTTGTTGTTGTGCTTCTGCTTCGCTGGAGTCATTTTAGCTGCGCTAAAAGCAATGTCACCTCCCTTTGAGTCAATACCAACTTTTTGAAGCATCTCTGGAGCAAAACACTTCCTGTAAGAAATCGTCTAATGGTCGCTCAGTTCAGTCGAGACTTTTCATCATCAAGTTTCCTCCCTTTCTGTTTTATTGCCAAAGTTACGAAGCTGCGGCTGCTTTTTATGCCTGGGCTGCACACTATCTTTCTGCCCGCCTCAAAGTTGAACATGCTTTGGCGCACACATCTTTGTTTCTTTCAAGACAGCCATTGCATATGATGGCGACATAGTGTGCAACACTGGCTAATTGCTGGAAGCATGAATATTCATCTTTGGTGTGGGAAGGCGACTTGCATTTGGAGCAAGAGAGGGCATCTTGGAAGGACATATGTTTATTCTAACGTTCCACATTATTATATAAAAACAATGGCTTGGATTTTTATTCTAGCCTCCTTAATCAAAATTCATTTGAATAAAATCCACTGCATCAAATTGCTAGCAGGCTAATTGGTAAAAGTCCACTTTTGTTTAATTTAATCTCTGTACTGGTAGATAAAGAACAAGGAACAGGGCAAATTGGTCAGGGAGAAAGTTGTTGGGAAACTTCGGAACAGTTCCAAATGACACAAAACTTATACAGTATGGATGAGTAGAACATGATGTAATAATGTAAAATCAAGGGGCCAATGTAAAAAAAAAAAAAGTGTTCCCCTTTAAGGAACAATATTCCATTTAGTCTTTCAATGTAGAACTGTCAGGCCACCATGATTATTAAGAGAAGCAGTCAAAAGGAGCTGCAGAGTTTCATAGCTCTGGTGGGAAATCTAAGAATCTGAAGTTACAAATTGTGGCTTCGTGTTTATGATG